GATTTAGGGACTAAACCTGAGATTAGCCAATGATTTTCTATAACACTGTATCAGGGTAGAGAATTAAAATTGCTCGTATTTGACACAATACATATTAAAATCATTTATCTCATCTCATTTTACCAAAATCTCATTGTAATGAGAAATATGCTTTTTCACATAAGAAAACTTCATCACATAAATATAGTTTAATAGTTTAGTAGTTACTATTTAAACTTTGCATTTCAGATTTGCTAATAGTTAAATAATTTAGTTCTAATAATATCTCAACGTTCAAAATTAGTGACAGCAATTTTGTTTTACTTTCTGTGAATTTCCTAGTTAATTTATCATTTCAAATTTAAACCTTTTTCGTGGGATCAATATTTAAGGCTTAAATAGAAAGTCATTTATTACTTGATAACGATACGTATACTTGCTTAGAATCCCAACATTAATTGCTTAAATTTCTTATTTATAAAAAATTGCATTAAGCTTTGGCACCGTTGCATAGCTGAGATAACTTTATCTATTTTGCAAAGCTATATTCTATGGATTAGTGGATAACTAGTAACTCAACAACTTTAAATCTATCATTTTAATTAAATTAATTAGTGACCCTTTCATTTGTTAAATGCACATGAATATAAAAAATTTAATTTCCACCGTTTGGCCGTCTGACCGTCCATTCCTCTCTTTGTTAATTCCAAGTCCCTAGATCGTGACACTATATTTGAGGCAAAGGCAAATGAAGCCTTTAGGCAGGTAACATTGACAACGGGAGGGAGGCCAACTGAGGCTCATGACATAGCAGCCAGTTTAGTTGGTGAGGTTTTTCTTTTCTCTATTTCTACAACCAAGTAGTAATCCATCAAATTTTGATTGATGAACTCACCATATTGTCAGAAGACATGCGACTAATGCTAACTATGATACATATCTTCTGGATTTAGCTCCTCCTGGTTAGCGAAAAGTTGGGGGGTTATCCAACTAAGCCCAAGAAAGTAGAGGTGAGGAGTCTTCCAAGGAAGGGGAAAGAGCACAACTGACCGCACCTGATTAGGATACTTCATTTATTAACTTATCTGCAAAGAGTGAGGTTCGTCGACCTGCATCTCAAAAATCAATTCAGAGGTAGAATCTATAGAGAAAGTGGAACACCATGAGGGGAAGGAGCTAATCACAAAGTCGCCTCGTTTAAAGGAGCCTAAAGTTGATCTTAAAAGGATGAGGTATAGTATTTCCTCTTTTAGTAGCCTAGGTCTAGACATAAGACTTTCCTACTCACTAGTCTTAGAAAACTAGAAAAGGTACCCTCACCATTAAAAACTCAAAACTCTTCTCTTTACTCAACTTGAAG